TTGATGGGCCTGTTATTTGTTCTTATTTTATTTCCTTTATGTAACTGCCAAGTTGGCCGCCCACTTAAGGGTATACTTGTCATCATCAATTTGTTTTAGAATTTAATAAAATTAGGGTTAGAGGAGGAAGAAGACTAATTCGACTTCTTCTTCTCTTACCTCTTCTCTTCTACATACACACTCTTGCACTTCCATTCAGATCTGATTTGTACGGTTAATCACTGATCTTAAACCTAATATTAGAGGACTGATTCTCAACTAGTTTGATTGGCATGGGTCAATCCCATAAAAGCACGGTTTATCCTCTCTTAGAGCCCCCTACTCCCAAGTCCCAACTAAAGAAACAAATGATGAATAAATTAATAAATAAAGGCCCTGTTGTTTTCACTTATGTACCTGGGTACACGAGTTTACCTAGGAAAGTCTTTCCCAAGTAAGATAGGTTCCAGCATTCTTGTGTGATACAGGCCACTCGGGTAAAGGGAAAGGCGGGAGGGAGAGAGTGTTATTTTAGCGCGGGTAAGTTGCTTACCCACCCTCCAGGAGGGTATCAGTTACCCAGGTAACTGATGCTCTCCGGAATTGCCGCTTACCGTGTGGCAAACAAATGGGGCCAAAAAGGTATATGGGCAGCATCCTTTCAATCTCTTGAGAATAACCACTTCTAGGCCTGGAACATGGTTAATTTGCATTCATCCCATCTTTTGTGGCACCAATCAAGACTCTGGCATCACTCACCAGCAACCAACATACACAATGAGACCTCCACTGAAACCCACAGAACCATATGCATGCCAAGGGACCTAACAAAGTCAATGGTTGATCTCCCTAGCATAAAAAGAAACTGTTTTATGTATAATCTTTTATTAACCTTTGCTCAATCAGTCACTAAGAAAAGTTTTATACTATTAGGCTTAACTCTGTAATAATTTGGCAATGCAACATGTCTTTTTTATTATACATGCATGATGTTGCTTTTCCCACATTAGCATTTCCTTGTCCTTGTGATTTTGGTGAGCAATATTCCTATGCGTTCCTAATTATATTGAGATTCCACTTGGTTCTAAAGCCTAAAACATTGTTCTCAATGCCTTATTAGATGCTATTGGCATACAAATGCCTAACTGGCATAATATAGACAAAGCTATTAATTCCTCCTATACTTCAATTTCCAGCAGGGTATTCATCTAGCAATCTCTACAAAAACATCTTCACCTCTCTCTTAGATTACCACAATCTCATCATTGATCAAACTGATGGAATAAAAGATGTCATTTGAAGGAGAATCTCATAATTCAGAAAATTCACATGAAAGTTTGGGTACCAATAGAAGGGGGAAAAGCACATTAGAACTTGAGTAATTTTCTATATTTTAGTTCTTATATAAACAGGATGCAAGATATCTGATGATGTCCATGTTTACCTGCTAACAGATAGAAGGATTCCAAGGAAGAAAAGAGCCCCTTGTGTATCAATACGGGATAGAGCTTGTGGTACTTTCAACCTTTGCCTTTCAGATTCACCATAATGAATAGCATCTGTTAAAACCCAAAGAACCCCTAGTCCAAGCAGCATTCCCATGTAAGGAGGCAGACCAGTGATGGCCTTGAACACTGGAACAAACACTAGAGCTCCAATGCCTACAGAGAAAACAAGCTGTCCTCGAGGAGCCATCTGTTCAGATGCCAAAACATTGGGAGAGTCCTGACCCTTTCCATCAACTTCGCTGCAATAGATAGATAGATAGAGCTGAAAAGCTACCATCCATGTAGACATCTAAGCTAACTTTTCAAAGATTCCATAATGTTCTTCTTGCATGAAAGATACCTGGTAAGTGACATAAGAGCCAGTGGAACAGCCAAAGAAATGACAGAAGGAAAAATCAAGTCCTGCAAGCAAAGATGTTAATCTGAATTCCACTGTTTCCTAAACCAGTATTTCAACAAAATGTATTCCATCAAAGTGGTCTGGTGAGTTAATATTCGTAGACAAAATGAAATGCAAATAAAATTCCAAATGGTCAACAAGCTAATCAGATTCACGATTGGTTATCAACAAATATCAAGACAAGAGGAACCAAGGAAACTCAAATATGAAATTCATTTTTTTTTTTGATCAATAAATATGAAGTTCATTTATCGACTTGGCTTTCTGCAAACCAATCACTTCATGCTACAATCATATTGTCACATGAAGATGAACCTTGTTGTGTGTGTGTGTGTGTGTGTGAATGGACACTTGACACAAATGGTGTGTTTGTGTGTGCGTGAATGGACACTTGGAACAAATGGTGCATCCAGTTATTTCTGTTGGATCTCTGTAACTAGCCATGTTTAATGAAAGATTCGGGGCATGCCGCTTGATATCAAAACAATAATTTCTATCCTTTACACAATGCAATATAAAAAAAATATTATTTGCAAGAATTTCAAATAGAAAGGTGGTGCAATAATTTCATAGTATGAGTGCATACTGAAAATCTTGTATAATAAGGGTAGTCAAAATAATGAAGAAAGACCTTCATTGTTTGCAATGTGGAGATCTGACCATGTATCCAAAGCATAGTGGTAGTAACATCACCAATTGGAGTCCATGCACCACCAGCATTGGCCGCTATTACAACAACAGCACCTAAAAACCTGTAAATTAAATACAAATGTAGGAAGAAAATATTATGGGCCAAATTAGTGCATAAATATTTCGAATTTAAATTGGACAAGCTGACTAGCAAAGAAGTGCGTTATAAAGGTAGAGGTGTTGCCAAGAAATTGGAATTGCTCCTCTAATAGGATGTTTACACTCCATAGTTTGACTTTGACTTACTGAGATTAAAATCGTAATTGAACAGATAATGCGAAAGGATCATTTATAGCCTTTGATGTTTTCTTCAACCTTAAGTTTGGATTATGTTTATTAGACATCAAAGTTAACCTAATCACTAATTATGTATTTCACCCCTTCCATTTCTTTTATCAAAAAAGAAATGATACAAATATGTTTAGTTTTCCATAGAAAGTTCTTTCATATGGTTTTGACATTGTGAACCACATTGTGAATATTGAGTTTCAATACTTTTCTTGGCAACTCAAACCATCTGATTCTTGCGCTGCTGGAATGCAGCCCTGTCCATTAGATATGTGAAAGGATCATTTATAGCTTTTGGATGTTTTCTCCAACCTTAAGTTTGGATTGTGTTTATTAGACATCAATTATCTGGGTGTGGTGGTGGCACTCTACTCTGGACCAATAGGTTATGGTGACTCAATACAGGCTGAATCTCTAGCCCTACTTCAAGGTCTAAAGATGGCTGAGCAGATAGGAACAACAGACTTAGAAATTGAAGGAGACTCTCTATTGGTCATCTCTTGGGCCAAAAACAT